AACTGTTGACTCATCAAAGTAGCCACCCTTGCAGATATAACAGCTGAACACACTCGTGGCATTCTTTCTACAATACAATCAAATATTTGTCAGAAAGTTCTTCCCATATCTGTTGCACAAGTTCCCATAAATGTGTGGCACTTGTAGGTTACTTTGCTTTCACTCTTTTGTCCAGCTTGATGGGGTTTAAGTCTGGAGACTGTGCTGGTCATTCCATGTTTTCAAGCTTACCATCTTGTTCTTTTTTCTGTTGTGGTTTATCAGTTGTGGCTTTGGGTCTGTCAGACCTCTTCCTGTCAGAGTGTTCAGAGTGAAAGGTTGGAACAGCTGTAGGAATTAGTATGAACAGCTTTCAAGGCTTGATGAACCTCTATTGCTGCAGAACAGCTTTAAATTGTTAACCCATTTTGTGTTCCCTGAAAAAGGCCTTTTTGTATAATTCTGAAATAAACATTATCTTTCAGTTTTTGGTAACCTTACCTTTTTTTAACCTCTGGCAGTTCACCACTTACCTTTGTACCAATTCAAGCTATTCATTAGACTTGAACGACTTGAATTGTAAGAAATAACTGGAAAAATTGGGGTGTTCTGAACCTTTTGACCTGTAGTGTACCTTACTAAGTACTGATGTACTAAATAGAGGACATCCTATGCTTTCCATTGATATGTCATGTGTTTTTTGGTGGGCACTTTTAGTTCCCCAGAGGAAGGAAGACACAAAAAAAATTCAATGGGAAGATTCTACTAGTTATTACTAGTTAATGTTAAAGCTCAACAGAGCCAAGTTTTCTTTTTCAGAGGAGCCAGAGTATCCAGGGTCATACTGACCAAAGATGTAACATTATTAACGAGATAATCAATCACTGTGGGAGTAGAATTTAGCTAGCTGCTCTCTGTGTTGGTATATAACATTGAAGAGAACGGTGGAGGAATTCTTTCCGTACTTACCAGACTTTTAAAAAGACATCTACTCTGATATTCCCCTACTGCTGTGTAATCCATTAATCTAAATTTAAATGTTATTAGGAAATGATCAGACAAGAGAGGGTTTTCTGGAAACACTTTTAAACGTAAAGTTTCTATGCAATATATTAAAACAAGATCTAGAGTGTGATCTAGAGTGTGAGCCACCGGGGGTGGCTGCAGCAGGTCACGGTAGAGCAGGTGGTAGAGCAGGTCATCTACTCATCGGAAGGTTGGTGGTTCGATTCCTGGCTTCCCCTAGTCTGCATGCCAAATATCCTTGGGCAAGATACTAACACCAAATTGCTCTCCGATGCATCCATCGGAGTATGAATGTGTGTGAATGTTAGCTATAAAGCACTTAGAAAAATGTGCTTGTGCAAATGGGTGAATGCACAAGTTGTGTAAAGCGCTTTGAGTGCTCAGATGAGTAGAAAAGCGCTATACAAGAACCAGTCCATTTACCATTTACCATTAAAGTGGTGGGTGGGTTCTTTTAAATTTTGAGAGAAGCCAATTGAGTCTAATAACAGATTAAATGCAATGTTTATGCTGTTATTTTCAGTATCTACATGGATGTTAAAATCACCTACAATATAATTATTTTATCTGAACTGAAAACTAAATCAGTAAGGGCTAGGGTGGACAATAGATAACAAATAAAACTGGTTTTTGAGTTTTCCAGTTAGGGTGAAGAAGGCTAAGCATCAGGCTTTTAAATGAATTAAAACTCTGTCTGGGTCTTTGGTTGATTAATAAGAAGGAGTGGAATATTGCGGCTGCGGCTGCGGCTGCTGCTCCTCCTCGTCCTGTGCTTTGAGGATTCTGAGCTAGTATAACTCAGGGTTGTTGATTCATTTAACCAGTTTTCTGTAACACAGGGTACATCAATATGCTGATCAATTATTAAATTGTTTTCTAGCCTGGGCTCAGAAAGAGAGACCTAATGCTTAATGATCCACATTTAACAGTTTTACTCGTTGGTGCAGTTATAGATACTAAATTGGTCTTTCTTTGTGATTTGTTTATGTTTAAATTGTCTTTTGCTGATTTTTGGTTTGTTTTTTCTTGGACTGGGAGCAGATACAGTCTCTAAGGGGATGGGTTTTTGGGAAGATAACAGGAGGAGAGAAGCTGCATAGAGGCTTTTAGCACTGCAACTCTGCTTCCTGGTCCCAGCTCTGGATAGTCATCTTTTGGGGGCTTTAATACATTTCTAGAAATGAGAGCTGCTCCATCCAAAGTGGGATGGATGCTGTCTTCCATGCTAAGATCAGGTTTTCCCCAGAAAGTTTCCCAATTATCTATAAAGCTCACATCATTTTTTGGACACCACTCAGACAGCCAGCGATTTAAGGAAAATATGTGACTAAACATGTCACTCCTGGTTCGACTGAGGAGGGGACGAGAGAAAACTACAGAGTCTGACATTGTTTTGGTAAAGTTACACACTGGTTCAATATTAATTTTACTGACCTCCGATTGATGTATCCAGGTTTTAATTGCTGCCAATGTGAATTAGAATTTTACCAAATCTGTTTATCTTTAGCCAGCAGTTTCAGGGTTCATTGAATGTCCCTGTTCTGGCCTTTGGAAGACATGGTGTTTCTAACGGCACGTTTCTCAAAACAGAATGACCCAAACCACAGTTTGTTCCTTGGCGGGTGTGCCACAGAGTGGGGAAAGATTTTAGATGTGAATGGTTGGTGTACTAGGGGTTTCTGTGTAGGAACTACTAGGACTAAGGTGCAGGAGGGACAGTTGAAGACACTGTACTGCTAGTAAGTTGGCTAAAAGCTAAGCTAATGTAATGAATCCCTAAAGACACGGTGAATGAATACTGTAAATATAATTATTCAACAAAGAGTGTGCTTTGAATAAAGCTTTGGGACACTAGGAAATAAGTCATTTTCCAAGAGTTTTTACTTAAATGGGCTACACAGATAAGCTACACCGTGTTGTAACAGGAACAGGAAGTGATACTGTTCCCAACACTGGACCAACACCGAGTGAGAGTGCCACCACCCTCGACCAAACCTTGGCACAGTACAGTCAGATCTTTCTCCTGGTAACCACCAACCCAAATTCATCTATCCAATTGTCAGATAGCAAAGCGAGATTCGTCACTCCAGAGAAAATGCCTTCACTCCAGAGAACAGGCCTTTTTCACTGTCTGCACTGAAGTCCAGTTGTCCAGCATGCTTTACACAACTGCATGCAGGTTTTGCATTGCGTTTGGTGGTGTAAGGCTGGATGCAGCTGCACAGAAATCTGTTCTTGAGCTAATCTGAAGATCACGTGAAGTTTGGAGGTCTGTAGTGATTGACTGTGCAGAATTTGGTGACCTCTCACTATATGCATCAGCATCTGCTGACACCACCAATTTGTGAATAAGTTACCGTCTTCCCCAGTCACTTCCAAGTTGTTTTAATACCACTTACACTTGACTTTGGAATATTTAGTAGCAAGGAAATTTCAGAACTAGACTTGTTGCATAGGTAGCATCCTACCATGGCACCACACTGGAATTCACTGAGTTCCTGAGCGTGACCCATTCTCTCACAAATGTTTGTAGAAGCAGTGGCCATAAAAGTAAGTGGGACACTTGAATTTGGTGATTTGGATTGGTGAGTGAATACTTTTGGCAATATAGTGTTAATACCAACAGCAGAGATCTCACTTTGACACTGCTTTCTTGGATAATACTGATTCCCTACATTTTCTACCATGCACTATCAAATAAAAACAGATATAATAGATTTTTATGAGACTTTAAATAAGATTTAAATAAAAGACAAGTCAGGACAACCAATCCTGATGAACTGTTATTAATCAGCATTATCCTAAAAGAAATGTGCATCTTTACATTAGTTTTAGAATAGGTTGAAAATAAAATATTGCATGTATGCATATATTGAACGTCACATGATAGCTCTGTCTCTGTGTTTCAGTTCTCGGGCCTCTATCTGTTGTCATTCTTCATCATTATCTTGGGCCTGGTTTTTTACTCCTCCTCGTCAACCTATGTGGTCCAGGACCCACGAGTCTACAAGCAATTCAGAAACAAAGACAATCAAACACCATATGAACCACCTCCACTTTGCCCTAGAGTCTTGGAGCCCACTGTCATCTACACTACCCTGAGCCCTGAGCAAGAAGACGAGTTTCCTGTTAAAGTAGCCTAAGAACTGGGACAGAGTTAAGTGCATTAGCCTGATAAACTTGTGAGTCAGGTGCAACCCCCAGGTTTCCCTTGTATACAAATGAATAGTGCTAGGCTTTGCCCAATCTGGTAAGCAGGATAGCTGGGATCACCCAGGTAAGTCAAGATATTCATTTTATGGTCTGAATGGAGAAATGTCTCCATGCTCACAGTAATCAAGTTAACATAAATTCATTTAGCTACATATTGTATGTACTGAGAAATGACTGACCAGAATGTAATTTAAACACATAGCAATGTGAGTTGAGTTCACGGTCATCAAAGACTGTGCATAGACTATAGTAGCTAGATGTAGTAGTAGATGATGTAAAGAGATGGTATTGTCATTTTTATGTTATCACGTATTTCTTCTAATATTTGCAAGAGGATACTGTATGGATGTAAACTATTGTCTGCCCAATATTGCTCTTATTTCAAAGAAAGAAGTTCAATAAATTTACAAAAATAAGTGCACATTGTATATAATAAGAAGGATTCTCTGTAGGATCTGATTGTTTGCAGGCTGAAAGAAGGATAACTATATTCTAACGCCCTGTTTTCCACAGTGTAAGTATTAGTGAGGCGTGAAAGAGATTTCAAATTCAATGTTAAATTTGTCATAGGCCCTAGAATGTTGAATTCAGGATTCAGCAGATGTTTGTGAGGTACATTTTGGAATGTTTTTCAAGAGATGCATTCAGATGAGTCATGTATCATCTGGACTGCTGTTACAGCTGTATACTGTTTTGAAAAATACACGTCATTGTTCAAAATGTTTTTGTTGGTTGCTTTGATTGAAAAAAAAAAAAAGTACAGTACATACAGTGAGATCAACCTTAACTGAATTTTATTTATTGGATACGGTTTTTATGTATAAATAATTGTATGCAATTGGAACATAAAAAACTAAGGTTGACAAAACATAACTTAATTGCGTGCAACCAATCTACATGTTTTTTTTATGTTAATCCCACAGGTTATTTTTTTCAGTGTACTCTAGTGGTGTACATGACAGATGATTCATTTCAAATAATAAAATATAAAAGATGTCCATTTGTTGGTGTTCGTAATTCTATTTTTCACATCCCAAATTGCCTAAAAATAATTAGAAAACTATTTCTGAAATGCACTTACTCAGTAGAAACAATAATACAGACATAATACTGAATACTGACTGACATTTTTAATAATATGTTGCGTTACTACATGAAACTGAGTCACTCATATTAAATGAAACCCATTGTGGAGGAGGGTGTTTCTTCTTCACTCACTATGTGTTAATAGTCTCTGCATTGAATCATACTTGTTATTAATCTCTGGCTCTCTTTCACAGCATGTCTTTTATCCTGTCTTCCTTGTCTCACCCCAGATGGCCGCCCCTCCCTGTGCCTGGTTCTGCTGGAGGTTTCTTCCTGTTAAAAGGGAGTTTTTCCTTCCTACTGTCACCAAAGTGCTTAATCATAGGGGGCCACATGACTGTTCGGTTTTTCTCTGTATGTATTATTGTGGGGGTACCGTACAGTATAAAGCACCTTGAGATGACTGTTATTGTGACTTGGTGCTGTAAAAAAAATTTAATTGAACTGAAGTAAATACAAATAGCAATTTAAATGACTTTATTTGTTGAGGAATAAAAATATCCAATCCTACTGGTCCTGTGTGAAAAATAGTTGTAAGTTGTTAAGCTAAAGATTAATCATAGAAAAATAATTTAGGTTTAAACCAAATGAGAAAATGTAACATGTGAAATAAAGTGTCCGAGCATGCCAGGAACATGCTTGGATGCAGTTATGTGGAAGTATAAAAGTGCTGAGCAGAGAAGGCAAACTGTGATTATTCCTTGTTTCAAGCTGGTGAGTGGACGGGTGACTGATCTGTGGGATCTGCAGTGGAAATAGTTGAAGCGAGGAGCGGCAGGGGAATAGCCAAATCCCAACCACTGCACGTATCTACTCTTTGCCCCCATTAATGTCAGAAACCCGTCAGAGACAGGTTATATTTTTATGCCTTTATGCTTGTGTTCATTGCTTATTTTATTTGACCTCTGAATGTACTCAAGTATTTATATATTTTTGCATTGAAGTTACATTTAACTAGGGCACGTAGATAGACGTGGGTTGTTTCTTTTGACAGACGTATCTAAAATGGAAATTTTCACCTTTTGAATATTTATTATTGTTCATTAATAAGAAAATGATTTATCTGATTAATTGGTGGAATACTCGATAATTACTTGATGAACCCTACACCTCACTGCAACAAAAGAAATCCTTTGCAAATGTTGACATACAAGCACTGAGAAGAGATGAACTTTATTTGTCCTCTATTTGATACATTCGTTTATTACAGCAGTTAAAATTAATATTATCTGCAGAGCGCAGTACTGTATTAAGATGAAGATTATATTTGGTACAAAAGATTTCCACCCGAATCTTTTGGTACACGGCCTGCATAAACTGAAAGAACACTGCAAGATATCCAGAAAGTGGAAAACTGTTGTTGATGAGCACTTAAAAAAAAAAAATACAGGAAGGTCTAGCTGCCTGGAAGCAAACTACAAAGAAGTGAGCAAGATTGAAGATAAATGTAAACTTCTGTAAATAGAAAAAGAACTTTAGAGTTTCCTGCCACTACCCTGGTGGTTTTTCATGTTACTGCCATCTCATCTTGTGATTTCAGCTTGGATTTAATGGTATTAAGCATGATGAGATGAGATTTCCTTTCAGGAAACAAATGACTGAACACTGTGTGACACATTAGCACAGGATACCTTTAGGTTCAGAGCTCAATGAGTGTTTTGGTGGACCTACCAAATAATGGTAAAGCTGACAACTGTGTACAACCCAGCTAAACAACAAACAACAAATTAGACTTGACTCCCCCCGCCCATATTTCTTTTATTAAATCAGTTACAATATACTGTTAGGTCAAGAAGAAAACAAAAAATATCACAGATGAGAGTCAAACACATCCACAATATGTCTGAAACAAGCTAATGCGCTACGCAAGAACTTATCAGGAAGCTTGTCAAGCAGTCAAAACCACAAATGTTATCAAAAAGCAAGTCAGAAGCAACAAAAACAAGAATGCATCTTGTTACTCAATTAGCTGAGCATGTGCAGACATGTGCAATATAAAGAAGAACTATCTACACCAACACATATGCACAACACTGCTCACGCAGGGTGATGGAGCCAGTGGGAACCTACTCTTGCTTCTAAATGTCACAGCTGCTCATGCACAACTCAAAAGAATAAAAACATTTTTTCCCTTTTTTAAACAGGAAACGGCATACAGAACATTACAGTGCAGAGTTGATGTGCACGCAGGATCATAGGAACCTTTTCAGATACAACTACTGTTAACATGACGTCGAGTTTTCAAAGAAAAACGTGCAAGTCGTCACTGGGTTTAACAGGATATACTAACGACTGCAACGAACTGTTAAGGATTCATGAGAATGGGCTGAAGTCACAGCTGGAAAAAACAAAACAAAACACATGAATGTCCTGACTAGTTCATCACCTTCTGGTTATGTAGCTACACTCAGCAATACAAGCGAGTCACCAGAGCCAATAAACAACAATCCTTCAGCACTGACTCATGCAATGTTATTTAACTACTAAGTTTCTTAATTTGCAGTAACAAAACACAGGTGAAAGCTTCAATATTTGGAGGAACAGTGGGACAGTGTGCAGTTTCAGTCAAAGTCCCTATTGACCAGGACCAGTGGAGCCACCAATGTCCACACATAGAGTGCGATGCAGATCCAGCTGGAGGAGATCTTCACCCACACAGACGGCCACTTGCTGGTGATGGCCTCATACTTGAGGTCAGGGCTGCGGATACACACAAACAAAGTGGACTAGTTGCTTCTATCCAGATAATATACCTTAGCAGAAACACAAAACGCGCCTTATTTGGACCTAAACCCCACATATGAGGTGACAAATTCCACAGCAAAGCAAAGGTAACGTCTCCGACTATTGAAGACTGCGCAACTTTAAACTTATTGTGGACAAAACCCATGAAATAACAAATATAAAGTACAAAGATAGACTTATACAGGTCTCCTACACCGTGAAACCTACCTATACCAGTTGGTGAGTGTCATCATGATGTAGAGCGATGCAAGGAACAACATGAAGTGGAAGAAAGAGTAAGAATACGTGACACCATCTTTCTCATTATCCACAGCTCTGTTGGGGCCGTTTCCCTCCTCAAAGCTGTCCGTCTGAGGCCCATCTTCAATGAGAGCAGACTCATCACTGGTCAGAGTCAGCTTGTTGACTTGGGCATTGGATGAATTGCGGATGCTGACGAATAAACAGAGGACTACAGTTAGAATTGTGCTATCCACAAAGAGACAGCCTGCAGGTTAGTAAATGAACCATTTAGTTGTCTGGGTGTTTGCAAGTTTAGAATTACAAAGATAATTAAGGAGTTCCTTACCTGGAGTAAAGGACACACATGAGGAAAAGGATCAATCCCACAATCCCTTGGGCATCCCACCACTGAACCACATGGTCCTGACTGCCAGGACTTGTGGTGTTTAGCCCAATAATGCCCAGAAGGCTTGGGTTACATTTCCTGTCTGAGAGACAAGAAGAGATTCTTTAATTATCTAATTATCGTCATCGGCACAGCCACTGAAGTCTATTCAAATGCACTACATGTCAGTGATATCAGTAGCGTTTAGCATTTAGGAAGGTGTTCTATCCATCTATATTCTTAGTGTGCTCCTGTACTTCCTTTCCTTCCTGTTGCCACCATCCCAGTGAAGAGGTAGAAGACAGCAATGCCCTGCAGGAATGCTCTCGACACTACAGACATGTTCTTTGATCCAAATAGAAATGACAGCTATAGCATCACTGACTGTATACATTTCTGTGAGGATCGTCCCAACCAGGACTGTATGCAGTTTTCCTAACAACAAGCACTGGATCACCATCGGCACTACACTGGTTGGATGTACTAAGGGTGGGCAGGAGTCAGAGTACAGAGAGCTGGTGAGGAAGAAATCCCCTCGTTCTGAATGTAATCAAGACAACAGAGATGGCAGTTGACTTCCAAAAGAAAAAGTCTTCAGCTAGGCCCATCAACATCATGGGGGAGGAGGTGGAAACAGTGGAGAGCTACTGGTAGTTTACATTGATGCTGTTTATAAAAAGGGGAAGCTCAGATCCTTTAATGTGTTGGGGGTGATCTACCAGTCTGGCCATCTAATTTGCTGTTGTCTGCTGGCAGAAAGCATCAGCGCCAGAGTCCATAGGCTTTGAGTTGGTGAGGGACAAACTGCTCTCCATCATGGACAAGCCAGCATCACTCCACACTTCGAAGGCAGCAAAGCTCCTTCCTTCATTCTTCCTCAGTGTGATTCAACCCTGCTGCCTCAAACAACACTTCAGAAAATCATTCCTACTGTTATAGAGAACAGTACAGTAACTACTTGTTCTATGACAGCAGATCACACCTATTAACCAAACCATCCCACACATATTTTTGTATTATACCTTCATGCAGCAGTTTCTTAGATTAATAATGGACATATTTATCAAAACAATTTGCACTACTCTGCAAAACCTCAGTCTTAATTTTACTGTTTTTTTTAAACCAACTTTGTTGTTACTTTTTTAAAAATCCCTGTTGTATTTGTAAATCTTTGCATGTGCATTTATTAGCGTCCGCACTAGGCACCTGTGGCACTCTGTTTATTGTACACTGCAGTATTTTTATTCTTTGTCCAGCTGCTCTAACACAACAGTTTTCTTTGTGAGATCTATCTGGACCAATAGAAACACCCATATTCACAAGCAGAGTGTGACCATGTGGAGAGAATGGAACTGATAAATCACACAATAGATCGATGCAGCATGAAGCATCCCAAAAATACACATTTAAACATTACCAGTGCAGTGCTGAGGGCATTTTCCCAACTAATTTACACTTATCCTCCTCACACGGAGTGTGTGGCAACATTGGCCTTACTGTGTCAACACTGTGTTGGTGCGTCAATCAAGAACGACACCTACTGGACCCAAAGAAAA